TATACAAAAGATATAAAAAAGAAACTGGATGTGAACCATGGCAATTATCAGAAGCTGTGACAAGTGTATCAGCAAAATCTCAAGCCTCCGATTTCGAGCCTATCACTTACGAAGCCAAACCCTATCCAGAATTAATTATTGATTCTGTCTTAAAGCATTTCACATACCTGAAATTCCAAAATAGTTTTAGGGGATTGATAATTATAATTTTGCATTAGCTCAGCCATGGAACTCGCCATGCCCTATTTGCGATGAAAAACATGGAAATTATGGATTACATGACTCATGATACCGCAAAAATGAAAATCAGCTCCCTTATGATCCTGAATTAGCAAAGTTGTATTCCCAAGATGAATTGGAATATTGTCTTACCTGCAACAGTTCAAGCAATAAATTCAAGTTCGCGATTGTGGCTTAGACCGGTCATGTGAAATCAATTATCGCCTGAGAAAAATTGTATAGTATGAGATATAGGTTTATTTTTTTTAGCTGAATCAAAATCAGTAAATTAATAGACATTAGAGTTGCCATATTGTTCCATGTTTTGTGACAATTGTAGAATCCAGTTCCGCAGTCACGTTATGCAAATCGATCTATGATTTGTTAATTAACTTCTAACCCATAATGTGACACAGTAAAATTTCCCAACTGTCAAAGCTATTCCGGCTTCCTGTGATCCAAATACTTTACACCTTAGCTTGTTTTGAAGCTCTTGGTGTCCTGCATCTAGTAGAATTGGTTTAAAGTTTCTACAATAGCTGGAGCACGTTTCGTAGGCGGTTGAAGTTTCAATACTCATGTAGTACTAATAATACATTTTGGGATTCATTGGGTAGCTATGAATTCTTACATAACAACCTACCAACTTCTTACCTCCTTTAGGTTCCCAGAACTGGAAACTAGTATTTTGTAGGTTGCCAGATTATCATCACTTCTCACACCACTTTGACAATGTGGTCTTTCCAAGATTCCCACTTTTTTTCTCACTATATTATACGCAGTAAGTACGTCATTACTTCACTACTCCACAGTAACTATGATATTGATATATGTATTATATCACAAAGACTGATACGCAGAATGGTGAAACACATGATACTGCTCTCTAAGAGTTCAGTGTCATAATCTAAAGTGAACATCCTTCTACACATATTCTGCTAGAAGTATCATATGATAATGTTCCCTAAAGATTCAGTGTCAAGTGATCTTCTACACATATACTATTAGGAGTGTCATATGATACTGATCTCTAAGAGCCAAATGTCATGATCTATAGTAAATATCCTTCTACATATATATCATTATGAATGTCATATGATACTACATTCTCTAGGCTCAGTGTTAAGTGATCCTCTACATACATACTGCTATGAGTGTCATATGATACTGATCTATTAAGGCTCAATGTCATCTGATAATTATGAAGTACAGGTGGCCTTGTATTTTACATAAATATTATTCCGAGTGATTGTTATAGAACACATGATACTGCAGATATCATACGAAATATAAATATATGTATCATACTATAAATAGTATCACGAACACCAAAAATAAAAAATAAATTCTAACCAATTATTTATTAAATATGTTCAGCTAATACTTTATATTACATATAAAAATAACAGATCATAGATTGGAATCTATGTAAATATGATAGGCTAACGCTTTCTATTACATTAAAAAATAAAGTAGAATATTTATTAGAATCTATGTAGATATGCAATACACAGCACTTCTATTCAATCAGTCAACATTAGCTCATTTAGTTCTAAATCATTAAATTGATCAAGCCAATTTGGTTAAGAAGAATTCGTTTTAATCCTTTCTTGAATGACCTTTATTTCTTTATCAGTAAATCTCTTCCTAAACCTTCTGTTTTAAATATCTTGTAAATATTTTTAGCTGATTGTTTCTTCTTATTAAAGATATTACGAGTTATCTCAGAGGGAAATTGTCACCAAATTTCTGCATTAAGCAATACTTGTGCAGTTTGAAGAGGATGAATAGAGGTATATTTGGCTAATTTCTTCTACAATGCTTCCCCAAGAGGATAGTGAGAGTCAAGGATTTCATATTCCATGCAGTCTGGAGTTGTAGGATTCCCCGTTTTCACATCTGACACCTCTGGTAATGGATTGAAGTCTTGTGGTCTGTTGGTTAATTCTTTAAAAAATTTTTTAACATTATCATCTTTTCTAGGATTTAGCTTTGCATCATCATTATCATTAAGATAAATAAGATGTTGACAATGAGAATATGTCATATCTTTTTTTAAGGAAATAATAATACATCTAAGATGGAAGCTATGAAGACAGGACAATCTCGCAACTGGTTCCAAGTTAGTTCCATTAGTTTCGAATAATGGATCAGGTTCTTTACACCAAGAACAGGTGACAGATTCAGCTTAAGAATTGGTTAGTGCGGTGATTTGATTCTCGTGATTAGTGATACTCCTATAATTAAACTCAAAAAAAATCTTCTTCATTAATCAATGGATTCTGCAGAGCTATGCTATTAGATCTTTCTGATTCCATGAGTATTTTTTTTTGAAATGTATTTACGAAAGGGTGGAATATAGGGTTTTTATACTTCTTGAATACATTTCACTCATGATCGCGAAATTATAATAACTGAAACTTGCTAGAAAAAATATTCTCATTAATCTTTGGATAACAAAACTCTTTTATTATCAGCCGAAAATATGTAATGAGGTATTTTTGTCTAGATTCAAGCGGAAATTTTGATATCAGGCCTAAGATCTAAATTTTATGTGATCACACATACAGTATAATAGTTCACTCATATTACATATAGTTTTATTTTGTATTACTTTATTCAATAAAGAATTTTATTAATTTTCAAAACGTATGTCTACCAAATGTATCTATTAATAATATTATGCCTTTATATTCTACTACAAGTTATAAAAAAATAGCTAGGTTTATTAGCAAATATTGCTATTGATATCATTCATTATATATTAATAAAAAAACTACTTAATTCTGCTCATCAGAATCTATTCCTTTGGAATCAGTACCAGCGTAATTAATGGTTACATTGATAACATTAGCACTTTGTGAAAATGAAGGAAGGGTAGGTGTGATTGGCCTAGAGATCACAGATGTTTCAATAGATGATGTTACTGGTCTTTATGGAACAGGTGTATTTACAATAGTTTTAGATGATGATGTTTGTGATCTTGATGGTATAGGAGATAATGATGAAGAGGTCACTTCGCTTAACCTCCAATGCTCTCATTATATGCTCGTTCGAATGGAAGATCTAGCAAAATTAAAATATATCAATATTAATAAAGATTACTAGTGACTGAGAAGCATCAGATCTCAAAAGTGTAGTTACCAGGCTTCAACCAAAATTCGCTAGAGAACTCCTTATAGATTTCCTCTCCTATTAAACTCTTTTTTTTCCCACCCTTTCTATATTTTACAGCTGTCTAATAAATAATGATAATAAGAATATTATCGATCAAATTCTTCATAGAGCTAAGCAAGAGTTACTTACTTTATAGGCCTTCTTAAGATTATTGAATTTCTTTTAACAGCCCTCACTAGTAAAATAATTTGTATTCTCTTGCTCATTTAGCTTCCTAGCAATATCTTCCCAAAAGAGACGTTTCTTTTTATTTGGAGTGAAGTGGAATTCAGAATTTCTTTCTTTTCTTTCATTTATAAGGAAGTGAACCTGGGTACCATTCCATCTGTCAGAAGACATCTTACATGGTGAAAAAACAGTGTAAGGGGTGGGATTGTTTTATGGGAAAAAATCTAGTAATATATTAGAGATATTTGAGATAATTAATCAAATAATAATGGTGGCTTAGGTGCTACAGAGAATCTGATTAGCTGATCATCTTATGATTTTGAGAATCGTGATTTGAGAAACATCTCAGCGACATGATAGTTTCTAGAGAGTGTCATAGAATTGGCAGGGAGCCAGAGTGGATTCCTGTGATATGGTATACGTCAAAGATCCTAAGAATAATTTAGCCATTATATTATCTTGGAACTAATTTAACTGAATTATGACATATCAAGAAACCCCAGAGATCAACAATCGGTTTACATACATGTGAATATACACATATCCAGATGTAGACCTTATATAAACCCTCGATATGCTTATAATCGAAAAAAAATGAATCCGATATTTTATTATAATATATTTGCTACAAACTGCTATAACGCTAAATATTCGCTAAAATACTATAAATCACTAAAATTGCTATAAGTCTTATTTATTATTCATAATAATTAAACATGACTATTATTAATATTATTCTAGATGAGAGTTTTAATAAGGTACCTAAACCCGTCAATAATCACCTTGGATGGGATATGAAATATGTCAGTGCATATAAAGAATTATTGTTTTGGTATGGATATTGAGAAAATAATTGAAATGGAGTGGGAATATGGGAACGTTTTCAGTAAAATCAAGTCATGAGGCATAGTAAATCATATGATCTGTAATGTGATTTTACTGGAAACGCTCCCATATGATACATTATCAGTTGTAAAGCCAGGCCAATCTCTAATTGGATGGGTAATGAGTGTTAGAATTCGACTACAAGAATTATTAACCAATCAGAAATTTAGTATATATCACTGACACTGCTTGTTTGCAGGGTTTGAGAATGGTTAGATGGTTAATTCTATCTATTATCGATCCAAAATCCATAAGAGTAATATGGCTATTTGTTTCAATTGCTGGAAATTGGTAAAGATTACTGATGTAAAACCAAAAAAGAAATATTTCGATGGATAGTGCAGATATGAATATGAGATTAAATCTGAGGACTTAATGAAATATCATTAGGATAATAGATGCTCTAAGCTAAAACTGAGAATGGAAGTGCTCAGATTATCCAAAGAGCTTATAGGAACTATAAAAAGCAATCTGAAACTTTTGCAAAACAAATTTAGGAAGCAGTTAGAAATGACAACACCTCCAAGAAAAAGAAGTTTCTTAATATGCCTGGTAGAGAAATTTATTGCACTGTAAACTTAGATATATAGTATTCTATTGATGAAGGGTATAGACCTTATGTTCTGCAAGATCAACTTCATAATTATATGTTATTCAGAGCATAAGAGATACCAATTATCTGATAGACTATTCTGTCAAGAATTAATTGAAAAACAGTTACAGTAAGAGTTAGCTGAAAGACAATCACAACAAAAATTAGCCAATAGACTTTTATGGTAACTATTATCTGTTGAAAATGTCATGTCTAAGACAAATAATGTCTCTTCTTCTTTGCCACTAAAGCCTTTCGCATTAATTTAGCATAGTGCAAGTATGCCTAAACTGAAGTATTTCTTAGATTATAGAACAGCATTTTATACTAGACCCATTCCTCCAAAGGTTCTAGACCACGAACATGATATCTCCATTTTATACGAAAAAATGCATAGATAATTAATATGTATAACTATTTACATTTTTTTCTTGGTAAAAGTGATTGGCAAAAATATCAATAAAAAATAGCTATAGACGCTTTGCATGTAAACATGTACAACAGCCGTTAAGGTACTAAAGCATAAATAAACATGTTTTTGATCCTCGTTAAAATATGATGTAATAGTAATATACTGCCAATCATCTATGCAGGTGTGACCATCTGCTTGTGCGATAAAATAATTTTATACATAAATTGACCTTTTCTTTAATACAGGAGATAAACCCTAATAGCTATTTGTCCTGAAGATCTTTGATCATAGGGGATATTTCTCTCTTCTTCAGTTATCCTAATCCGGACAGACAAAAAAATCTATATATATGCATTACCCAATGCCTTTTTAAATGTCAAGATTTTCAATGCATATCCCTATTCTCTAATGCAAAATTTTGGCATAAAAAGCATTGCATATTCTTCTGCTTCGACAGAGAGATGTGAATGAGGAGATTACAAATATTAAAAGGGTAGTCTAGTGAAATTATTATGCCTTTACATTATTTTTTTTTACTTTGCTTACCAAGCTTTATACTAACATTTATCTTTATTTTATCAAAATATGGAAGAATTCCTTTTAACAAGAGAACCCCTTGATATTGTCAGAATTTCCACAGCACTATTTGTACGAGTAAAGAAAGGTGAATGGACAGGCGTTCTCAAAAAGGAAGTTGAGAACTTTGAACAAGTTTTGCAAAAAGTTTTAGAACAAGTCCCCTCAGAGGATATTGAGCAGGTAAAAAAGCTTCGAAGTTTTGGTACTGGAAAAAAACTGGCGAAACGGGTATGGTAATAAATTATTTTATGATAAATATATGGATATGATGACTTGTATTTTTAGGTTTTCTAGTTGGTATAACCACTAGCGAAGAGGCTGATGTCTATTGTAATATTATTACTTCCCACACAGTAATAACTAGTTGTATAACATATGATACATATCAGACATTTTGCCGGCACTTGAAACTTTATGAAAATGGAAACCTAATCTAATCTCGCAATATAAAATTAAATTATTTATTAAACTAGCCTTGAGATACTAATTTTAAATACGTTTTTAGGTCATGACAGCATTTAAGGATCTATGCTCACTCTCAGAAATGGAAGCATTAGTAATTGATACTGAAGCCTGATGTGAAGATGCAAATACAAATTTACGATCTCTGAAGCATGATGTTAGTCGGTACATAAGTGAGAGCACTAGTTATGAAAAAAACATGTGGGAGAGAATAGAAATAAAACTTGAGAAAATAAATGTGAAGAACCTTAGGTTCGATCATCCGATTGTTCAGGCGTTCTGAATATCAAATCAGAACCCTTTACAAATATACCAGGATTAGTTTGTGATATTTTTAAGGAACCATTTTAAAAATATAAGTTAGAACAGAATCATGATATAATGGAAGCCTGTAAAGAATTTATTCAGAATGAGGAATCGAAAATTAATATGGATGAGGTTTTGGGTAAAATTAATTATGGAGAATGGTTGAATAAATCTGAGAAATTACAAGATTTAGCAAATCAGATATTAGAATCAATGTAAGTACAAATTCCCCCTTTGATGCTATGCATCTGCAAGAGATAGCCAATCTGTCTGGGATATATTTTCTTTTTTATGAATTCGAAAAAAAGGCTTATTAACTGATAAATAATTATAGGCTCAAAGTTTGGAAATCGCTAAAATACGAAGCATATATAAAGAAGGGAAAATCAACAAATAAAGGATTATATGTTTGTGAAATTCTCGCACTATTGATAAATATAGTGATAAGTGATTTATCAGGAAAACCAATAGTGTTGGACATATGGTAGGTTTAACTTGAAAGATATATCATTATCATATATTTTGTTTCAATTAATATGTCTTTTAAATTAAGGGAAAAAGAAGGAAGTTCAGCTAGTGCTACACAAAAAGTTTCTCGTAAATTACCCAAAGAGCTGATTATATGATGGTAATCCAGTTAGGAAAAAATGCTGAATTTGAAATTATTTATCTTGAGACCGGTAGACCTAATTCCAGTTAAGATAAGCAGGTTCGTGATCACAAAAAATTAATACATTTTTCTAAGGATTCTATTGACACTACGAGGAGCATAAAAAACCTTAAAAAGATATTTAATTAACCATCTAAGAGGCAG